GGGTTGTTAGAGCCGGTCCCAAAATTTGATTAAGATTGGCCTGTAGAGTACTGACCTGGGTAGCGAGGTTTGTGATAGATTTTTGTATGTCCAATTTCCATTGGCCATTGGGTAAGAAGTCGTTGGGGCCGAACGTCTCAATTGGGGGTTCGGCCTGGCCCGACATTTTTCGCGGATGTGGGACTGTGGGACTGTGGGATCCCCAGACTCCCTACTGGAGTCGCTGTAGTGGTTCAGGAAAGATTGATGGGAAGAAGTGGTCAGTAAATTCCCGTTTGAAGCTTGGGCCAAGTGAGTCGACAATGGAAGATATGTGTTGACTCAGTTCGGGCCGGTGTTGACAAAACACTGTTACTATCGAATGTTCCATATATTCGATTGTTGACCTACTAAGTAGAGTACTCACCTCTGTGGTACGGATCGGGTCTGCGCCGTGTAGTGCCGCGGAATGGGGTAGTGCAGAGTACGAAATACCGAGAAGGACCAGGTTATCCGTCATAATCCGGTCGAGAAGCGAGGATGGGGGTAAGCCAGTGCCGCACCAGACCACGGATGAATTCGGTATGTGTAGGCTGGCCTGGATCGGAAGTATCATAGTCAGAACCAACAAGCGCGATGATTTGGTTTGAACCAATATTTGGAAGTAGTACTTCAACAGCGTGATTAGCCGGGGTATGGAGAACATCTGTTGATGTGTCAGGGACGGGTGAGGGTACGGTGGTTTTTCAACATGCTGGAGAAAACATCCAAGGTGTTCGTGGAGGGTCCAGATACCGTGGAAGTCGTGACACTCCTGTAATTGCTGAAGGAGGTCAGTTTCGGGCCTACCAGGATGCGTCGAATCAGTTGTTGGATGCAGGCAAAGTGGCTGGTAGTGAACTTGTGGCTATCGGTGCAGACAGGGCAGAGACAGCCGTCGGTGCGGTAGTCGAGCAATGTGAACATGTACGTATTCGTTACAATCATAGCCCGTGGTTTTGTGTACAGTTTTCAGGTGAGCATAGATACTGTACGGGAAGCGCAGTGATGGTTTATCGTGGGCCCAGGCGGGTTGCGTCAGAGGGGTAAGTGGATTTTTGCTTGCCATTGAGTCGAGTTGTATTCCCAGGCAACCTCCGAGGTAGTCCGCGAATGGTCGCGCGGGGAGCAGGCCGCAAAAGTGAAGTAAGTTTGTTTGATGTTTGGGAAACCGAGGGTATTTAGTGCCCGTGATGATGGCTGCTGCTTGGATGAGTGCTGAGTTAAAGCGCTCGAATAGGGGGTCCAACACATCCTTCCATATAGGCGGAGCCCAGGCAATAATGTTCAGTCCATATGTAGCCGTGGATAGGATGAATGTTTTGAACATCACCAGTCGGTTGCGGGGGTGTCGCCAGCTGAAGCCATGGAAGCCATAAGCGCGGAAAGAGGTGATACCCCGTGACAATGCTGCAACCAGGGATTTCATATGTCTAGCGAGGTTGATTCCTGGTACTTCGCGAGAGAGTGGGAACCCCAGGTATTCGGAGTGTTTCGGTTCGGCATGTGTGGGCGCCAGTTTCAGAGGGAGGTAACGTGTGTTCCAAGGTGCGTCTGCAAGCGTCGGCGTGATAAGCTCACCGTTTATACGAAGGGTTGGCGCCGCGTGTCGCAAGTCGGTAGATCGTACTGGGAGTTTAATGACACCCTGTTCGAGGCCAGATTTGCGTCCCCACGCATCAATGTCATCTAAGAAGGGCTGGAGCGAAACCGATCGAGGGGCTTGGATCCGTGTGTTAACGACAAATAAATAAGAGCGGAGGAGCTTGGGCCGAAATTGTGCTAGCGTGACAGCTAAGGAATCCATATAGATAATAAAGAGCTGGGGGCCGACGATTGAGCCTTGTAGGATGCCATTCGTTCTATGGAATAGAGACGAGACCGTGCCGTGGTATGTCACTCGGGTAGGGACCCTCCCAAACAGCGCGCGGAGGCAGTTGATCCAGTTTTCAGGCATTCCAGCGTGACGCAGAAGTACCCATAGGCGTGGTAGAACGACCTTGTCGTATGCCTTGGTTATGTCCAGACAGACGTCGTTCCACTCCTCTTCTGACTGTGTCTCAGATTCCATGGCGGCAAGTGCTTGGGTATGACAGGAGTACCGTGATTTGAAGCCAGCTTGGGTAGCATGGGTAGCAGAGCCGGGGTGGCTCGTAATCAGATTAAGAAAGCACTTTTCAAAGATGCGTCTGACTATTTGCGTAAGCGTGATGGGGCGGAAGTCGGCGGGGGAGGTGATATCTGCATCGGCTTTCTTTGGGTGCGCTGTCAGGAGGCTGCAGTTCAGGGCTGCGGGGAAGGTGCCCGCCTTCAGTAGCTCAGTGAATGCTTCGGCAAGGAGTCTAATCAGTGGGCTATTGGCGTCGGGGCGTCCTAATGTTCGGCGTTCGGTAGAGCGCTCCACTGCGGCCTTCAGGAGGAGGATGTGGATCCCGTCGGGACCAGGTCCCTTATTGGGATAGCGTAGTATTGCCTCCATTACATCGTCGGGGCGTATGCTGGAAGTGACATCAGGAGAGGGTTCGGTATCCGGTTGTCATACCATAGGGATAATATTATTTATTTCAAAAATGGCAAGTATGTATGATACAATGTATGAACATATGGTATGGCTCTCATAGTCGCTGTAGTGGTTCAGGAAAGATAGCGTTCTCTAACTTAGTAATCGCTTCCCTAGCAGTGTGACCTCTGCGAATTACTTACTCCATTGCTTTCCAAAAGTAATTCCTATGACTACACGCTTTTCACACGGCCTCTTTCTGTCGCGGTGAAGTTCTTGGCCGCTTTGTTGTTATTTAGACCTTCCTCATACTCAAGCCACAGTCTCCACAGTGTCTTGGGTCCTTTACACAACTTTGCCTCTCGTATTGGTGCTTGGTTATTGTGATCTAGATGTGCATCATTATTTTGTTGTTACCGATTGTTTTGTTAAATCCTTGGTACTACCTCGACGTTGTGCGTAAGTACAAGGGTATTTTTGAAAACTATGTGTTCCGATGTCTGGTATGGATCCCTGATCCTCAAAGGCATCTGTAGCTATTATTCGTTTAAGTGCACTGCGTGAAAAGTCGGTTTTCAGTACATCATCGCGGCCTGTATTTGCGTTCGAAGTAAACATACACTCAAGCTCTAATGTCGATGGATCAGCTCGGTCCTCAAGTCTTTCTATCAGGTGACCGGTGAGCCCAGCCAGTGCACACAAATAGGGGTCCATCGATCCTGATATTAATTGTCGAGGCACCTGATCTTTTTTTTTGCAATATTCTTGCTCCACTCTACTTCGATACATAAAGCATCTTGAATCCCAGGTACAAACTTCAGATCGCTGTATTTATGATTACATGCGTCATCTACACGACATGCCAATTGAAACGTCCAGGTCCAAAGTCCGTGTAGAGATGCGTGCTAAAAGACTAGATTTTCTAATTGATTTTCAAAATGTTCATATATTCAGCGTACTCGAGTGGTCTCTTTTCAGAACCATGCTTGCCTTCACCGCGGAGTTCAAATCGTTCAATCTGTTTGATCAAGTCACTGACCTGTGGAGATTTTGTGGGATTCTCCTTTTCATCAACGCAGTCCCATTCATTGTTATTGCGTGGCATGAACCACGATATTGCCTTCTTATCGTACTGAATACCATTAGATCTTTTCAGTGTAGGTCTATCATCGGGCCCAGGTTCTTGAACTCCGAATGCAAGTTCACAAAAGTACCGGCACAAATCTTCTGGTTTGATGGCCAGAAGAATGTCGTTCAGTGCAATATTGTTGTCTTTGAGATTGACATGACTGAAATCATAGTTCGGTCTAAACCACCGTAAGGACTTACGGGTGATACGATCATATACTATTATATTTGCAGGGCTAGGCATGACTATACTGCAGATTTGTGTGTGTAATTTGTGTGTGTGTATTCCTCAATATTTTATGTACGACCCAGTTTTTGTAAAATTCCTTAAACAAGATATCCAGTTAATTTCCATAGGCTGAGTTTACGATGTCCAATTGAATCCCGTCTGCAGCCAGAAAACAACGCGGGTCGCACAAAGTCGTTAAAACCGTACCTAAATTACGATCTGACGTATGACCAGCCCGAGCAAAGTCAAGGATTTTCACCACCATGGAGTCGAAAAATATTACGACCTACGGATGGTAAATTTGTAATATATCAGTCTCAGTCACTCTAAGACCAATGGCAGGCTGCTGTGGACCTGTAGAGCAAAATATATTACTGAAGAGTATGACCCCGGTCGTACGACCGAAACAATATAATAGTTTTCACGTTATAGGCGAGCGTCATAGCTTGTCAGCCAATAGTATGCTCGATTAATTTAATTAAAAAAATGATTTCGTGTCCCACTTATGAAAACTTCCAGAGACAAAATTTGTCTCTTGTAATAGTTGATTTTGTTATAGTTTTACGTTGTAGACGGAATCTTTACGTAAACTTCAAAATTCGCCAAGAAAATTCAAAATACCATCGATATCCCCATCAATCTAATTGTATACACGAAAGCCCGCACAAAATGTTCGATTGGATGCAAGCATGTTTGTTACAAAGAGGCGGTTTAACGGTCGGGCGGTTACGATGCCTCTTTTGAATGCTAGCTGTTAATAATAGTATATATTTCTTGTATGCTTGTTTATTGTGTAATAGACCTAGCTAAACGCAGCATTAGATTAGAACGTCTCTCTTCCGTGTGATATACTTTACTTCAAGTACATCTAAAATATATGTCAACGTCTGTTCCGCAGGGTACGTACGATGCGCGAAAGCATGGTACCAGGCAGATCAAACCTGAGAATCCCGATCGTTGGCTGCACCCCTTTATAGGCCACTTTTAACCAGAAGTATGAGTCCTATACCTGTGCACCCTGATTATTTACAATCCTCGTATTGTCAACAAAGATATGATGGCGCGCCTCCCTCAGTTATCAATCAACGTCAAATGCCGGAAACTACTATGTATGCACATGTGAACATGCATGCACATGCAAACACGGCTCGATCACTAGATACTGGGCACATTGATACAGAGAATCGTGAAAATAGGGAGCGTGTTGACTATTCCACCACACACAATTTGAATTCACACAATAGTGAGCATAGTTCAAATATTCACTTTCAAGATCACATTCAAGAAGATCACTTTCAAGATCACACTCAAGATCACATTCAATATCACACCCAAGATCACATTCAATATCACACCCAAGAAGATCACATTCAATATCACATTCAAGATGTTGAATCAGAAGCAGGGGAAGTAGTGGGGGAACAAAGTGGAGAGGAAAGTGGAGATGATAGTGAAGGGCCACGACAGACGAATACAGAACAACGACACGATGACAATGGTTCTAATAAAGAACAGCCTTCATCCGATCGTGGCAATGACGATTGTTCTGATAAAGAACAGCCTTCATCCGAGCGTGGCGATGACGATTGTGAAGAAGACCTGGATCTGGATCTAGAAGACAGTGAAGAACTGTTTGATCCGTTTGCTGACATGGGAACCGAGCCTGCTACGATGACACTGTAAGATTCGGTCTCTCAAGGGGGGCCTTAGAATAAATAAACGCGTAGGTAAATTCTAAGTATCGTGAAAATATCAAAGTAAACAAACGAAATAAGACATTTAGTAAAGTTAGGTATGCCTCGTGAAAACAGCAATACTCTCAGGGATTGTGAGGCTGAGACATTGCCTATATATAATCCTCTCAATACTGTTTTCGCCGAAGAGATTTTATTTAGTGTTTCGTTGTCGCTCTATTAGAAACTATGGTATGTTTCGTTGGGACGAATCCGAGAGACTCATAAAATCCTATCTTTAGAAAAAAAAGAATAGAAAAAAAGAAGAAGAAAACTCTTGATATCCATAGTTATTATATTAACCAATAGCTTGCCACTTATCAAGAATTACCGACTTAGCCTTCATCAGACTGGCACATCTGGTTGGCTGATCGGAGGATCAACTAGGTAACGTTAATAATCCCTAGAAGCCTATATTCGGTTGAGCCATCTCGCTACCGTAGTATTCAGATAGAAATAAGGTAGAAAAGTAAATAAAGTTATATTAATAGAACTAGACCAACTCTTTATGTTTGATATTTTACTAAGGCCTTTTAATGGCCTCGTCCAAATATCTGATATGTAAAATGGAAAAGGTATTAATTAATAAAACCATTGAAACCCATTTTAGGATACTTAAGTTCGTCGTGCTATTAAGAGTACATTTAGGAAACTTAAGTTCCTCGTACTATTAAGAGCACATTTAGGAAACTTAATTTTCTCGTACTATTAAGAGTACATTTAGGAAACTTAAGTTCCTCGTACTATCAAGAGTACGTTTATAATTTACGTACTGCTTAAGAGTAGGTTTATAACATAGAGTCTAATGTGGAGGCCCGGCTTATTACAACACCAGTTAGAAAGTCGCCCTGCGAATATCAGCTTTTAACAATAAAAAATCTAAAAGCAGAATATCTAGGAGGCGCAAGATAGAAGACAAGTCTACAGGACACAAGCTGAGTATATCAACTGAGTTTGAAAACGGTATGCAAACCCCATCGCAGTTCAGCTCGTCGTTTGATTGGGGTGACAAGAAGTCACCAACTACCGTATCACAGCAGACTTTAGTGACTGTACCGCTACTCAACGATAATGCCCGAGAAGAGATGAAATGGTTTCCGCACTGGCCATATATTTCTTTAGAATATGATGGCAGAACACTGGAAGACAAGGCGTCAAGTATCAAATACAAAACAGCCGTAAAGCTAGCCAAAGAGAACAGTAAAGCCGGAGCCAAGCGAACGCCCAGTGTTGTCTGCAGGATGATGTGCATTATGACCGATAGCCTTTATAAAGATGGTGTAGTAGGTACACAGAGCTTGCAAAGGGGCCGGGGAAGACTTGACAATGGTCAGATTCGTCACCGGGACCCTTGGTGAATCAGATTTGCCGAAGACTTCGCTGACAAGGATTACTGTGTAAACAAAAAAGAAGTCGAAGCAGCGTTAGGATATAGCAATACCAGCGCAACAGCCACCAAAAAGAGATATCCATGGTTACCAAATATATCAGCATGGGAGGAAGTTTTGGTGACTATAGAAGAGCTGGATGATCCGTATAAACGCCCCGCCAAGTATATTGATCAAATAAGAAATGTAGATCCGTTGGACATGACCCTGGTGTACACCATCAAGGCAGCTGCTGAAGAGAGCTCGGATGTTTGTAA